AGAGGATCTCCCAGGTAATTGAGGAGGTGAGGCAAGGGACTCACACTTCTAATAGGGAGAAAGGCGTGCTCACCCAAGCACTAGGAACTAAGGAGCACCCTGGTCACACTAGAGGAACCGGTGTTGTTCCTTGGAAACTAGCATTCCCCAAAGAATCTAACACTTACCGAAGCTGCTCGAGGGTAGAGCGGATCAGGAGGCAGAGGATTTGAGGTGACTAAAAGAGATGGAAGAAAGAATGGATGCATGGATTGAGACGACTGTTGAAGCACGAGTCTAGCAAATTTTGCTGTCCAAGGGGTCAGGAGTACCACAAAACCCTACTCCTACTGCCTTTAGCCCATAGTTTAGGGGTTGCAGCAGCTGCGGATCGACCCCGCTCAACGAAGAAGATGCGAATGTGCCTCATTCGGTGGACGGCATCACTGAACCCGTCTATGTCAAGTTGTACATACATCAGGAATGGACAAAGGACATGGTGGCGCTCGGCCAAGCCTGGCCTGCGGAAGACGGGACCATTAATGGCCACCCAATTCAACAGGGGTACACTCACGTCACCATTGACAGAATACTTGATAAGAAGTATAACAAGATACTCATTGAGTACCCCATAGCGGAAGACATGCCGAAACTTGATCATAACAAGGGCTCTCAAGTGGCCTGGCGCAAGCGCTTCACTAAGCTTGACCACCAATTATCCTCTGATGATGAGGATGACTGCGAGTCTTTGCCCACCCACGATGATCACTCACCATCTCCCAATAGAGATTACTCCCCTCCTCATCCCTTGCCATCACCCTCAAGAAGACAGAGGTCTCCTTCTATTCCTCCTCGTCTGACTCCATCTTCATCAGCCCTGAGAAAAGAGAAGACTCCTCCTCCTCCAACTTTATCAGCCCTGAGAAAACAGAATTCTCATCGTCATCCTCCTCCTCCACCTCAGCCCAAAACAAGATCAAAGGCATCCTCGTAGTCGCAGATAAGGTCCTTGGATTCGGTCACTAATGCTCCCAAAGTGGACCAACAAAAAAGAAAAAGGCCGTTCAATGGCAGCATTACAAACTTGATGAAAGAAAAATTTACAGCACACATCTCAAAGGAAGATTGTGTTAGTTTCTTCAATCTCTGTGCCTCACTACCTCTGTTTTTGTTGAAGTCCGAATTCAAAAGGCAAACACAGAATCAGTACGCTACAACAAGAGCCGAAGAAGTACACAATGAAGATTTGAGGAAGATATAGAAGTATGTCGAAGACAACCCTGAATTAACCATGGAAGAGGCCACAAACATCTATTATGATGTACAAGGGATGGGAACACCGGCAATGAAGTATGCAATGGGCAATCTTTTGGTTCCCGAGCACGAGTATAAAAATTTGACAACATATATGCGCCAGTTGCATGAATATTACATGGCTCAAGCAACAGAGACAGAGGACTTTGGTTTTGAGGTTATTATCTGTTCGCTACATGTTTTTCATTATCCTAAAGAAGAGAAGTTCGATGTTGAGTGGGAGTGCTTGTTCCAGCTATACCAGAAATGCTCTCTTGATACACAAATGTTGACATTGTGGACTATGTAAGTACCCTACATGCACGATATTACAATTAACTACTCTCTCGGGACACAAATTGTTAACTTTTGAACACTTCCCATGATTTTATGTAGGTGTATAGCAAAATTTTGCATACTAAAAAGCAAATGGGGTAACATAGGCTTCTTAGACCCCTTGCAAGTCAATGAGAAGACATGTTTAGGCCTCCATGGATGTGACATGGAAGACCTAAAAGTGAGATTGATTGCTGTTTTTTATGAATTCAAGATGAAGAACAAAATCCACATACTTCTAGCCTACAACTACGAGTATGTGTTCTCGGCTTTTAATTTTATGCTTCTTTTTCGTTAAGATTATTCGATAATTAGGATTCTGTGATTGTAGCAACCATTTTGTCTTCATTTGTGTCAATCTTGCTAAAAATCTGATCGAGGTGTGGGATTCAAAGAAAAAATCATTTCATCATCTGGATGCACTAGTGGTAGTACTGAATTAGTAAGCGATCCTAATAACATATTATTTGGTAATCACACATACCGCTTTCTAATGTTTCTCCTTTTAATGTTGCACAGTGTCCGAAGAAGACATATCGGTGGGACGCAGGTCCCATTCAAGGTTGTCGAAATGGAGGGGACATACCTAAAACAGCCAGCGGGAAACAATGAATGCGAGTTTTATGTAATGTGGGCAATGCTTCGCTACATCGGCAGAAAATCGGAAGAAGCAGATAAGTTGGTGTGTATAATCCCCATTTCATTTATGTCTGTTAATAATTCAACAAAATGATTTACTGATTCCTCTTTGGATATCATCTTTTTTGAACGACAGCGCAAGAAATATAACCATGAAAGGCTGTTAGACATGAGATAGTCGCACTGCAATCGGAGCTGGCAAAATTCATCTTAGCCGAGGTATTGGAAAAAGATGGAGTATTTTCCATCGCACAATCCGTGAAGTTCAAGGACCAGTATGGCCTAGAGCGGCTCACTAGATTATTGTAAGAAGTCCGAGAAGCATTGCACAATCCATGAAGTCGGAGAACATTTCTTTTTTATTTTGAGGGATCGAGATCTTGATAAGAACATATAACTGTAACATTTGTAATGTTTAATATTGATGGACCTATCGTCTATGTAGCGTATATAAAGCAAAACCTGATTCCACAAAAAAAAATTATAAAACAATAAAATGTAAACGGGACATCACTGCTAGTTAGCAGCAAACCGGCAGTGTTGTCGTAACCATCACTGCTGGTTAGCAACAAACCGGCAGTGTTGTTATAACTATCACTGCCGGTTAGCAACAAACCACCAGTGATGGTCATGATGGCCGGTTAGCAACAAACCGGTAGTGTTGTTATAACTATCACTGTCGGTTAGCAACAAACCGCTAATGATGGTCATGATGGCACTAACGGCTAGAGCACCAAACAGGTAGCGTTAGATTAGCTATCACTACCGGTTCTTATCACAACCGGCTGTGATTTTTACGATAACATTGCCTGTTGAATCATAAACCGATAGTGATGTTCGCGGTTACACTGCCGGGTGGTCCCATGAACCGGCAGTGTTGGTGGACCTGAATTCTACCGATTTTAGTAAAGAACCAGCTATGAATTTGAAGAACACTGCTGGTTTGTAGGAACTGGCAGTGATAGCTAACCCTCAAAATCCGGCAGTGATGGGGTGTTTTGAACCGGCAGTATTGTCGTGATCTGGGGTAGTGTATTTTTGTTGATTTTATTCATCCAAGGGCATTATGGTCATTTCGCAAAGCCAACTCACCACCCCCGCTGGCCCACCTCCTAGCCCGCCCACGCACCCGAGCTCCTACGCGAAGGGAAAATGTCATCGGCCTGCCCGACATCCGCCTCCCCGTAACACCGGCGCCCATCCCTTACACTAGCCCTAGCCATGACTGGCCTGCCCACACCCTCATGCGGCACCATCGTCGGCGCCCTGCACTCACCTGTGCCTAGCGCCGTCGCTCCTCCCTCCTCCCTGGCACCGCCGCCTGACGCGAGCGGCACCTGCGCCCGCCCCTAGCGCTTTGTGACCCATGGCCCCATCGGCGCCATCATCGCAACTGCTGAGAAGACATGCTTCACCCCCGCCAGTCGCCTTGTGCCCTCCCTTGACAACGCTTGCCATGGACAACTCTCTGATCCGGATCCGGATCCGATCGAGCTCCAATCGCAGAAGGCCAAGGTTCCCATCCTCTGCACTTGTTTTCCATTTGATTTATCTCATACAGCATGAATTGGGAATGCAGCAATGCATTTGTTTCCAGTGTATGATCCAGGCACTTGTTTTGCACTTAACAATGGATTCATAAATTCTAAATTTCATTCATCTCACTTGCGGACAATGTCAACGGAATGATATCCTGATTTCAAGATAAACCATTGCTCATTGCTAGGACATGGTCATCTTAAACAAACATACTTTGCTTGGAGGATTATGTAAACTATACTTTGGTTATTACTGAGATAAAGCACAGTTAGTAAGCATCTAAACTGAAAAATCATAAAAATGTGTTAGGTCCTTTTCAGCAGTGATAATATAATCCGGTGAAATCTGGTTTCAGCTGCATGCTCTGCTACTGAACTTGTTTTTGATGTGTGACTATCTATCTGCAATCTGTTGGTGCCACAGTGTTGAACATGTGCTATATGGCATTAATGCACATGGTAAACACTGTTTGTTTGTGAATTTGATTCTTGAGCAATCTAATTTCAAAATTGCTGCTATCGTGACGCTTTTTGTGATGGAGCTGTTAACTGGGGTTGGTCAATTCTTTTTCTTTACTGATGATTGCATGTAGGCAAAGAACCTATTATGCATAAGATATCTTGTAGGATGTGGCATACTAATGTACTCTATTTTTTATTGATGCAGGAGGAAATGCTGGGTCTTGATTCTTTGTTGGAGAACAATGAAATTGTTAGGAAGATGTTTGGTAGTGAAAAAGAATGATATTGGTTTTATAACAAATATGCTAGGGGAAAGGACTTAGTGTGAGGAAAAGCTATTGTGAGTGGCGCAACGGCCACAATGAGAGGACCCTTTGGAAGTTTGTTTGCAGTTGTGAAGGTTTTCGCGGAGCGAAGGAGCTGAAGAGGAAGATTAAGAAGCGGAAGCCGCGGAATATTACTCGTGTTGGATGGCCTGCTAAATTTGTGATTGCACGGGATTAGAACACAGGGCAGTGGTATGTGAAGGATTTCATCTATGAACACAACCATCCGATGGCGGAACGAGACCTTGCTTGTCTTTTGCATTCACATAGAAGAATCAGCGATGAGTAGAAAGCCGATATTATGGTGATGTAGATTTCTAGGATCCATAAACTCCAGATAATGGATATTATGGAAATGTAATATGGTGGGTATGATAAGGTTGGATTTACAACAAGGGACTTATATAATTTCTGCCATCACAATAAGATGGAGACAGTTGCAGCAGGTGGTGCTCAAACAGTCATTAGTTACCAGATAGAATGCAGACGTAGGGATCCTGATTTCTTCTTCGACTACAAGACTAATCAAAAAGGGCACCTTAAGGGACTGCTCTGGTGTGATAGTCAATGTTGGCTTGATTATGTAGCATTTGGTGATGTCATCGTATTTGATAGCACGTACAAAATGAATCGGTACAACCTGCCCCTTGATCCTTTTGTTGGGGTGAATCACCATGGTAGCATAGTTCTTTTTGCATGTGGAATTATTTCCCAGAAGACAATTGAGTCATATGTGTGGATTCTTAGCACATTCTCTGGTGCCATGGTTCAGAAGCATCCGGTTTCCGTGATCATTGATGGAGACCTTGCTGTGCAGAGAACAATCGAGCTGGTGTGGCCAAATTCATCACATAGGGTATGTATATGGCATATTGAGCAGAACATTGTGCGTAATCTTCACAATGATGGTGTGAAGGATGATTTCAGGTATTTCCTTTATGAGTGTTGCTCCATAGAAGAGATTGAGAGGAAATAGCTGGAATTCTTGGATAAGCATAACGTTATAGATAAGGAGTCGTGGCTATATCAGATGTATGAGAGGAGGGAAATCTGGTGTGCTGCGTATCATGCTGATAAGTGCTACTTAGGACTTAGGAGCAACTAGCAGAGTGAGAGACTAAACTCTAGGCTTAGGTAAATCTAGATCATAAAATGACACTGTTTGAGCTGGTAGAGCACTTTGACCAATGCCTCTCGCGGCTGCGTAGTAATGAAGAGAATCTGGACTTTCAAGCATCGAATTCTTTGCCATGCTTAGAACCAGATGCTTCAATTATTGAGAAAGAGGCTATGAAATCGTTCACACCAAGAGTTTTTGCCATGGTGCAGTTCAGCATTAAAGCAGCAAAAAAGTGTTTTGTGAGAGAGATTCTAGATGGCTATGATATGATTAAGTATATTGTTGGCTTTGAGGATAAATGAGAGAGAGAATATCATGTGGAATATGAGATATGTGTTGATGAAGGCAATCTGAAGGGAATTCAGATAGATAACATTCAAGGATAGGAGCACATTTAGGCAAATGCAGAAAATATTATGATAGATTTTCATTCAGATAACATTCAGGCTAATGCAGATAGCATTTAGATAGATTTTCATTTCAGAAAAAAATCAGATAGCCTCCCTCTCAGTTCACTACTTAATCATGACAATTGAAAGTGCAATCAAGCCCTAATTATGGGTTTTGGTGATAATGACCATGCAATTAGAGAACTAATGAGATTTATCGAGATGACAAGTAGGAAATTTATATTCGAGGATGCTACATGAAACGGAGGAGCCCCCAATTACAAATGTAGATGGCTTCAAACTCAGAGGAGGTTTAAATTATTTTATATTTTGAATTTGAGTATAGGAAAAGTCGTACTATAAAGGGGGACTCAATGCTTAAGCTAATATGTGCTTCCAACTGCTCAAACAACCATATGCATCCTCAGATTCATAGCCAAGATAGTATACACTTCACTATTACTCTTGCTGTCTTGCATGGTGCGGCACTACCACACTTGAATAGAGGCACTGCCGCACTTGAGTCACAACACAAGGAAGTTAGCGCCCACGCTAACTTTCCTGGATGGGTCAGATGTATTAAACGGTCTCGCCCAACCCCAAGGTCGCGGGCTCCGTCTCACCCGACCTCGAGGCCGTAGGCTCCGTCTCGCCCGACCCCTTGGGTGCGGGCTCCATCCCACCTGACCCCTTGGGTGCGAGCTCTGTCTCGCCCGACCCCAAGGATGCGGGCTCCGTCTCGCCCAAAGCCACGGGCTCCATCTCGCCGACCTCGAGGTCGCGGGCTCCGTCTCGCCCGACCTCGAGCCCATAGGCTCTGTCTCACCCGACCCCTTGGGTGCGGTGACCGTTGGGGCTAGGGGTATATATACCTTTCCCCTTCCTCCCCAACAGCTATCTGCCCCTTCTTTCTCGCTTTAGCATGCCCAAAATAGAGCAGGACCTCTCTCTCTCTCCCTCCATTGTTGACCTCAAGCCCCCAAGCAAATCCATTGATTTCCCCATCAATCCTTGAGGGAAAAGGGTCCAAAACTCTATTAGAGAGCAGCTCCATTGATTCCCCAACTCTAAAGAGCACTTGGTTCAAGTTTTAGCTGGCGGTTGTGTTTGTTACTCTTGGAGCTTGGCTCCTAGCTGGCTAGAGCATCGCCCATGAAGCTTGCCAACTTATGTGGCAGCCTCGGGAGGTTTGTAACCATCTCTTTAAGTTATTAAACTCACCCCTCACCTCAAGAGTTAAGTCTCTTAATTTGAAAACGAGGAAGGGTTGAAAAGCCCTAAGCCTTAGTGGCTAACCTCAACAACGTGGAGGTAGGCAAGCCTTGGTGGCGAGCCAAACCATGGTGTTCACTTGTGCTTGATTTACATTACTTGCATGACATATTGTGGTTGAGGTGATTACTAGGGTTTCTAGTTTATCTACTTGTGTGTGGTGTTCCTACCACTTCTAGCTCTTATTCTGTGATTATCATACCTGCAGTAAGCTAGAAAATTTCTCCGATTTAAGTTTTCATTCATGGATTTTGAACTATGATTCGAAGTTGTCTGTAGGTGCGGCAGTGCCACTGTTCTAGCTCGATAGTGCCACAGTCCGGCAGTGCTGCTCTCCAGAGCGGCAGTGCCGCTAGTTGAATTTAATAAAAGTTTGAGTGTTTGTTTTGACAGGCCTATTCACCCTCCCTCTAGGCCAATTAGAGATCCTACAAGTGGTATCAGAGAGGGTTACCTCATATACGCTTTACTGCGTGAAGTATGGAGCCTGAAGGAGTAACTAGTGGTGTGAAGCGAGTGGATGTCGACATGGATAGCAGCGAGCTGAGCGCGTCGACAACAACATGAAGTATGGAGCCTGAAGGAGTAACTAGTGGTGTGAAGCGAGTGGATGTCGACATGGATAGCAGCGAGCTGAGCGCGTCGACAACAAGCAACACCACTACCAAATCTTGAGGCTACCGATGTCGAAGGAGCTCTCAATGGGAATGAGAGAAGAAGAAGGAAAGAAGAAAGAAAGCTAAAAAGAGAAGCAAGAGAGAAGGAGGAGGAGCGGTTAGAGGAGAAGAAGCAAAGGAAAGAAGAAAGAAGGCTCAAGAGAGAAGCAAGAAGAAAAAGAAGAGAAGCTAGGAAGAAGAAGAGAAGGCAACAAGTGCATCATCAAGCATATCAAGTAGTTCCGAAGATGGAGATGATGATGAGTCATACCAAGTGTCGAAGAGGAACAGGAAGGAGAAGAAAGCAAAGGGCAAGGCCAACAACAACAAATATGCCACTGTATCCTTAAACTATTCTTCAATTCCTATGACTAACCATGATCGGAGGTCTTTCATCAATGTGCCCACGGGCAAGTTACCTCATTTCAATGGAACTAACATTGCCAAGTGGAAGCACTTGATGAGAGCCTATCTTATAGGTCTTCACCCCGGCATTTGGGAGATTGTTTGCAATGGATTTGAGCCACCAGTTGATCCCAAGAACCCAACACTAAGAGATGAGAATCATTCACCTCAATGGTCAAGCCACAAGTGTGTTGCTTAGTGCCTTGGATGGTGATGAGTACAATAGAGTGATTGTAGTTGATGTTGCCAAGCAAATATGGGACACTTTGGACCTAGCACATGAAGGGGTTGACAAAGTGAGAAAAGCAAGAATTGACTTGTTGATGCCAAAGCTCAACCGGTTTGTAATCTAGGATGGAGAGGGGCCACAAGAGATGTTTGATAGGTTGATGACAATGGTGGGCAAGATTAGAGGCTACGGTTGTGATGAGCTAGATGATCATAAAGTTGTCAAGATTATGTTGGAGGCTTATTTACCTAGAAATGAAACCGCAGTGACTCTAATTAGAGACAAAAAGAAGTTTCAGTACTTCACACCAAATGATGTACTTAGGAGGATCTTGACCTTTGACATGCAAAGAGAAGAAGCAAATGAGAGGAAGAAACTTGGAGAATTGCAAGCAAAGCTAGAGGGCATCAAGATCAAAGATGTAGCTCTCAATGCCAACAAATCAAGCAAGCAAGGCTCTACAAGCAATTCCAAGATCAACCAACAAGCTTCAACTAGCAAGCCCAAAGCAAGCAAGCAAGTTCAAGAAAGAGTAGGGACCACATCATCTTCAAGTGAAAGTGAAAATAATGATAATCAATATGAGAAAGTTGATGATGTTGCTCTCTTTATGAAGAGATATCACAAGGGGCTAAAGAAGCAAGGCTACAAGGTAGTGAAGAGAAGCTTTTGAAATAAGAAAAAGAGGACATGCTACAATTATGAAAGCACCAATCACTTCATTGCCAAGTGTCCATATAAGATCAAGGACAACAAATACAAGAAGGACAAGAAAGAGGAGAAGGCCGACCGTACAAAGAGCAAGAAGTACATGGGAGAGGCTCACATTTGGCATGAATGGGACTCAACCAAAGAGAGCACAAGTGAAGAGGATCAGAAGGTTGCAACTATTGCTATTCATAAGTCATCCCCTACACCAAGGCTCTTCAATGACATGTTCGATGATGACTACTACTCCCCTCACATTTGTCTCATGGCAAAGGGTGAGAAGGTAAAATTCAAATCGAAGGCCAAATCTCCTCCACCTCCTAGTGATATCTCTAGTGGTGATATTAGTGATAGCTCTAGTGATGATGAATCTAGTGATAAAGAAATAAACATGATAACTAAAATTTTGGATGGAAAGACCAAATTATTCATTACTAAGCTAATGGAGGATTTAGAGAGTGTCCAAGCTGAGCTAGAATCTAGAGAAGAGACTCTTATTCAACAAGAGGATCTCTACATTGTTGGTAAAGAATCTCTTGCATTAGAGAGAAGTGAGGTAGAATCCTTGCGCAAGGCGTTGGCCAAAGAGCAAGAGGTTTGGCCAAAGAGCAAGAGGCCATGCTAATATAATGAAAGCAAATAAAGCTCTCAAGAAAAATATTGTGACTTGGATGAAAAGCACAAAGAACTTGAGATGCAATATGGCATTCTTTGGGATAGCAACTTACATCTCCCTAAGGCAATGGAAACCTCTACTTCCTCCACTAGTCAAGGTTGTGGAAAATGTTTTAATGTTGATTTGAATGCCTATTCCACTAACCTTACAAATATGGAGGCTATGAGAAAGGAGATTGCTAGGCTCAATGAAACCATTGGAAAAGGGTGGATGGGTGAGACCCAATCCAATGACAAGAAGGGTGATGAATCAAAAGGGCCACAATTCAAGCAAGGAAGGCATCCCTCAATCAAGCATGGGCTTGGACACACAAAAGGAGCCAAAACAAATGGAAGAAGGATAGTGGATGGCTATGAGTGTGTATAGTTTGAGAGAAAGGGCAAAATTGGTACAGATCAGCCGACAAAGACCGCGGTAGTGTAGCGTCCCCGAGTGGCAGTACCGCACAGTGGCAGTGCCGTAGTGCAGGGCGGCAGTGCCACGCCCTACAAAAATGGAAAGGCTACCAATTCTGCTCCTAA